CATCTTGGACTTGGCTGAGGCTTTTTCTCACCTCAGATTCTATTTCTCACCCCCACCACCACATCCTGTTGCTATCTCGTGCTCTTTCAAGACATAGTTTCTAAAAACTTTTTTAATTTTTATTTTTCATTTTAATTTTTTTCATTGAAGTATAGTTGATTTACAATGCTGTGTTAGTTTCAGACACATAGCAAAGTGATTCAGATATATATGTGTATATATCTATATATTCTTTTTCAGATTCTTTTCCATTATAGGTTATTACAAGATATTGAATATAGTTCCCTATGCTACACAGTAGGATCTTATTGTTTATCTATTTTATATACAGTAGTTTGTATCTGCTAATCTCAGACTCCTAATTTATCCCCCACTACTTTCCTCTTTGGTAACCATAGATTTGTTTTCTGTGAGTCTATTTCTGTTTTGTAAATAAGCTCATTTATATCACTTTTTAAAGATTCCACATATAAGTGATGTCATATATTTGTCTGTCTGACTTACTTCACTTAGTATGATAATCATTAGGCCTATCCTGTAAATGGCATTATTTCATTCATTTTTCTTTTTATGGCTGAGTAATATTCCATTATATGTATATATATACCACATCTTTATCCACTCATCTGTCAATGGACATTTAAGTTGCTTCCATGCCTTGGCTATTGTAAATAGTGCTGCTATGAACATTGGGGTGCATGTATCTTTTTGAATTAAGAGTTTTTCCAAATATATGCCCAGGAGTGAGATTGTGGATCATATGATAACTCTAATTTTAGTTTTTAAGGAACTTCCATGATGTTCCCCATCATGGCTGCACCAAATTACATTCCCACCAACAGTGTAGAAATGTTCCCTTTTCTCCACACCCTCTCCAGCATTTTCCATTTGTAGACTTTTTTTCCTTTAATTTGTTTAATTGTTTGAGGGGAGGTAATTAGGTTTATTGATTTATTTACTATGGAGGTACTGGGGATTGAACCCAGGACTTGTGCATGCTAAGCATGTGCTCTACCACTGAGCTATATCCTCCCCCTCCATTTGCAGACTTTTTAACGATGATCATTCTGAACTGTGTGAGGTGACACCTTATTACAGTTTTGATTTGCATTTCTCTAATAATTAGCAATGTTGAGCATCTCTTCATGTGCCTATTGGCCATCTGTATGGCAAGACTTGGTTTTTATTTTACTGCCCTGGTGAATTTTTTTCTGACCGATGGATTTTACATTCTTCTTGTATATTTCTTCAGTACCCTGTTCTTACTCTAGCATTCTGCTCATCATATCAAATTTCAATAGCCAGTTAATTTACCTCTCTTTCTTCATGGATTGCAAGCTCCTTGAAGTCCTCCTTGATGGCAGAGAATATTCCTTTTTTTAACCCATGTCTCCTCAGTGTCTAGCACAGGCCCTGAAATAAAGTAGTCACTCCATTAATATTTGTCGATTAAATGAATGGATACCAGTTAGGTCCTTCTTATATAGATGTGACAAGTGTTTAAACTTGATTATTACCTGCAAACATCATCTTACTTCATAAAGGATTCTTTCATCAGTTTGTAATGAATACCTAAAATTCTGCCATAATAGAAGCATTCATTTTGGTAAAAATAAATAAATAGATAAAGAAATGAATAAATATATACACTTTTAGTAGGAGGTGAAGATATACACACACATCTTTGGAAAGAGGAGAAGAAACTGGTTTAATTCTTAAAATCATTTGTTTAAGATTAATATGAAAGAATATAAATATCTGGATTCCTTGAAAAGTCAGTTTCTTCCAATCCCACTTTCTTCCAATCTATTATTACCTTCAAATCAATTAAGAATAAACGACCATTAAATAGGATTCAGAGGCATTATATTAACTTCAGTGAAAGGAGACACAACCTCAGTGTATTCGTTTTTATGGCTCTATAACAAATTACCACAAACTCAGGAGCTTCAAGGTGGCCAAGAGTTGATTTATGTGAAGTAAAATTAACAGGCACATGAAAGAGCATTAAAGGTTGCAAAATTCCTGGCTACCACCTTTGGGCAAAGGCATGGTGGTTTTTCATTGAGAAGAGACTTCAAGTCATTTTTCTTATGTTTCACAGCAGAATATCAATACCCAAATGACTGACATTTAAATGTTTTGATAAATTTTTCTTAATCAACATCCTTGAAGGTACACATTTTGGGAAGTCTCCAGAAAGCTCAGCATCGACTTGACTGTTACTTTCCAATTGCAGAAAAGATGGTTATGATGAGTAATAACCAAAGAGACAACTGAAATGTTATTTTATGATGGATTAACATCTCTAAAGCTCATTTTTTTCCGGGCCGCATTCCCATGTTAAACGTACACTCCCCTATCAAGGAAGAGTGGCCAAGAAGCTTTGGTCAGGAAGCTGAATTATCAGTGAAAGATCTTAGTGGTGCCCGTGAACCCATGGGAAAGAGATACTGTTCTGAAAACTATTGAGAATTTGCAAACCCAGTGGAGTGTAACTACTGTGGAATAGGGGCGAGGGTAGAAGGGAGGAGAGGCTGGTGATGTTCTTGTTGAGAGAAGTTATCAACAATGTATAGAAGACCTGGGAAATCGTCTCCATAGAAGTTAGCGCCAGAAAAGTTTTCTCTTCTGAAAAACAGGTTTGCTTTTTATTGTCAAATATGAAGAGCTATGTAACCATTTCAATTTCTGTTTTGCCTTGGCTGCCAAAATCTCAGCATTAATAAGTGTGCATCTCCTCCCTGGGTTCCTGGGATATTTTGCTTCTCATTTCTCTACCTGATCGTTAATATCTTTCATTCTTTATTTTGGCTTTCTGCATACATTGCATACATCTGTTCATATAAACTATTAAAGACATACAAAAGTTGTATAAAGATATATAGACATATAAAAATCATAGAAAGACGTATAAAAGTCTTTGTCGAAGTAGGTGAGCATGGTTTGTAGATCTATAGAACGTAGCATGTTAGAGAATGTAGCAGAAATGTGCAAAATGAGGGATTTAATATCTTACATGCAACCAACAAACATATATGTGTAAAAATAGATAGAAGTAGGGAGGACACCTGGGGAAGCCCATGAGCAGGACAGGGTGGGAGAAAGGAAGCCTATTTTCAGAGAAGAAGGGAATACTGTTTATTTAGTAACCAAATGAAACATTTAGACTTGGGAGACTAGGTTCACATAAACATTATTTGAGGCTCATAGCTCTTCACCTTTTTTGGTGGGTGGTTCAGGTATTCATAGACCTCTCTGAGACTAGTTTGAAACTTTTGGACTCTCCTCTTACAAAAATTCAAGCACAAACATACACATGAACTAGTTTCAAAGGATTATCAAATCTAATGTTCATTCACGGATCTTCTCTAAGGAACTCTAATAAAGGACTCCCTCTCTATGAATATATTCTGATTTATAAAATAAAATTTAACAACTTGTCAAACTTAAAAAACACATTTTTACCAAACAGTATTCAGCAGGGAGTAGTTTCCCAGGCTTCATTGCTATGCCGTCTCTGCGCTCGTCGAGTGGTTCACTAGCTCTCAGGTCAGCAGGCACCACAGGCACAGACAGGAGGACTGAAGGACTGGAGGACTTCCCGCGTTTTCCCTTGAATTAGCCTTTTTGGGGTACTGTTTTAGGTCGCATAGCTATTAGCAACGTCGTGTGTTCTTATTATCTTCTAGTTGAGACAAACTCCATGTAGATTAAGATACCACAGGCACACTTTGCTAGTGAGGAGAATGGGTATAAAACTCTACCAGGGCAACACCTGAGGAAGGTGCACTGCAATATGACACCAAAATGGGCACAGGGGAATACAGGAGACAAAAGAAAGTATAAGGAAACCAAGGGCTCAGGGCAAGAGTTTCTAAATAAAACAGTGGGTGGACACCAAAAGCAAACTGCCTTCAAATCTGGGACCTAGGTTGTCTCTAGCTCTTGGAACCCAACCTTGACTTATAGATGCTGAATGGAAAGGCTTTGAAGAGGAGAGGAAGAGAGATGGTTAATGAAATCTCGGGGCCAGTGGGCAATTCTGCTGCTTTGTTTTTCCGTGCTTCTAAACCAGCTCCTAGGAATTACCCCTATTCCACACTTTTCCTCCAAATCCTTCTTATAAGTAGCAAGTGACCCTGGGCAGGTTGCTAAATCTCATTTTTTCATATGGGAAAGAAATAACAGATAATAACATCTGTTTAATTACTGCCAGGAATAGATCATATAACGTAAGCACATTGCCTGAAATAATAGCTGGAATATACTGGATGGTGATCAATACGTTTAGCTTTTTACATTGTAGCAAATTGTGTGACTTTTAGAAAATTTCTGCAAAGAGCAAGCAGGTAGAGAATCTGACCTAGGGAGTTTGAGAAAATAGAGGGATAAAAAGAAAGGCTTCCTCTGGTTCTTTCCTGTGCCAGCATGTGGAGAAACAGCAGTGTCTTCCTAAGTACCAAGAGCAGAAAAAATGTGCAGTGATGCAGAGGAGCCAGCTCTCACATCAGAAAGAGCTGTGGTTTTTCTTCAGGTTATCAATATGCATTTGGATGTGTCTGGAAGTAAAGCATGACCTGTGCTTTCTCTACACGCTGATGACCTAGTCTGAAATTATCTGAAATGTAACGGCATGAATCACACTGTCCTAAACCCACACACAATTCAGGGTATGGCCATTACACACAGAACCTTCATTAGCTGTGCTCCACTGCCTGGTAAATCTGTTGTGCTGAGAGAAGATACGTGTTGCATTAAAAGCGGTAACTGAAGTTGCTGGAGTCAGGGACCTTACAATACACTTCACACCAAATAAGTGATATTATTTCAGTAGTTTACTGAGAAATGTTACACGGTTGATAAGAAACACTAAGTTATAGGCATCTTTGATGACACTAAATAAAAACCATACCAGCTGACACCAGTCCTGGTTCTGAATTTCCAGTTGTCACAAGTGGTTTTTACCTGCTTTCCTTCTTCACCCCGAACTCATCATGTTTATATTCATAACATTCCTATCGACATGAGACCAGTTGCAGTCTTTAATCTTCCCATGTGTTTAAACGGCATCCACCTTGTTTTGGGCCAAAGGGGTTCTATTAAGCCTGCAAAATGGAAGAAAAAAAAAAAGTCTTGAGCAGGAACTTCTCCCCCTTCTGGGTACTTTTGTAGTTATTAGTCTTTTTCCTCCGACTGAAACATTGCTTTCAGCCAATTGTCAACGTCCTCCTTTCCTAGATTTTAATTGATAAAGTATTTATTCTCTCAGAAGACAGATGAGAGAAAAACCAAAAGACTGACTCTTCAGTGATGGAGTTTTAAGGACTATGCTAAACATAAGGTAGACATGTTACCCCAAAAGTAAAGCCCCCAGTTCTTATCATATCTGAAAGACAAGTTTAGTCGGGAGACGGTGCGTTGTGTACTGAAAGATTTTAAAAGATGTACTTGGAAAAGCACACCCGCAAGAACAGGAGGTGGGCTGATCCAAGGCTGTCTCCCCTTTCTCTTACACTCTCGCTTAGAAGTGGTCTTTTGACTAATTGGTGGCTTTCGTCCCTGAAAAGCTTAGTCATGTTTGGCCCCTTTTACGCTTGTCCTCACCCATGGTTTATATAGAAAAACCCTTGGCCGGGGGTGGGGGGGGGAGCTAAACTGCAATGCTAATTATAATAACATTGGGTTGTGTCCGATTAAGTCCTCTCTGCTACCGCAGTCATGGCTGTCGGGTTCTAACCAGTTTCTTGCTGCTGCTCATTTAGAAGTAAAGCCCTTTATGCTGTAGGCAGGCATAATACCATCTTCTGGACCAACCTCCCTCTCCTCCACCTACCTGCCGGGTGCCCCCACTTATCTAACTACCAAGCAGATATATCTGGGAGGTGGGGTCTTTCCCGACACTTTTCAAATAATGCAGGTCTCATTACAAACAAGCACGCCTTTACAGTGAGGAACAACTAAAAAGAATCTAAACAATCTCTGTTCTCTTTTGTTACTTCAACAAAAGAGCTTCAGCTTCCTAAAATCCTGCTTTATTTAGGTTGCTATCCAATCAAAGAACCTACAGGGGCTCTTCCATTTTTCAGGCTACTGAAATTAAACACTTCTCTGTCAGATCCTCAATCTGATTTTACCTTCGCAGTCGATTTCTCTTCCAGATTGCAGATGTCTTGAATTCTGGAATGATATTACAGAATGAAATTCCTAGTGTAGGAATACCATCTAGGGATGGTGCCTTACGCTTGTTAAAGTTTCAGATTAAATAGTGAATAAATGAAATCGTTAATGATGAAACTTTGCTGTGTCTGTTCTCTGGACTCCACTATTCTCTCTCTAACCTCGATACCTTTGCCTCTGCTATTCTTGCACCTGGAAAGCACACTTCATTCTACATCAGTGGGTGTAGTGTGCACTAGAATCACCTGGAGGGCTTGTCAAAACAAAGTCTGCTTGTCTTCACCCCAGAGTTCTAAGGTATAGCTCAAGAATTTGCATTTCAATCAAGTTCCCAAGAGATGTGAATGACGCTAGTCTGGGGACTATACTTTGAGAGCTCAGGTAACTTCTGAAACATACCTTGTATTTCACATTTTTTGTATGGTGATGTCCTTTCATATGATTTGAATCCGTATTGATGTCTACTACTTATAATCTTTTTTTTCTGTTTTTTATATTTCTATTTTTTTATATTTTTAGAAACACATGGGTGATAAACACATGGGTCTATTATCCAAAAACTTGATGCTTTCACGTCCTAACCCCAACCATGCTGAACTTCTCAGTTTTTACTTGAAAATATCATGTATCTTTGTGGCTTCATGCTTTTTCTTTTTCTTGACATACCTTCAATCCTTTTCAAGGTCTTTGTAAACTCTAAGACCTAGATCTGCTATCCCCTCTTTTGTAAAGTCTTCTTTGAATTTCTTGGAAATTACCACTCCCTACCCCATCTCATTGCTCTCATGGATCACTTAACTTAATCAATACTGTTGAGAATATCTGTATTCTTTTTATTTTAAATGTATTTTATTGAGGTATAATTTATATACAGTAAGTATCCATTTTAAGTGCATGTCTGTGAGTCTTGACAAGTGTGTGCATCTGTGTAACCATGACTATAGTCATGATATATGAAGTATTTCTATCACACTAAAAAGATCTCTGTGCTTCTTTCCATCTGTGGCCTTAGGAAACCACCAATTTGCTTTCTGTTACCATAGATTAGATTTGCCTTTTTTAGAATTTCATGAAAATTGAATTGCACACAGTGTACTCTTTTGTGTCTGACTTCTTTAGAGAGTATCTGTATTCATTTATTTCAAGCATAAATAATTTCGCATTCATTTACTTTGAAGCAGATCATACTTATGTTGTTATCCAAGCACAATGCCTCACTGAAAGTATTTTTGAAAGATACCAACTTTTGGTAAAATATGGTGTTATGTAAAAGCAAACACAAACAATAAAGTCCAATCAAAACAACAATGAAAAATTAATATGCTACAAATAGAACTTCCACACTGAAGTGTTCTGCACAATATTGAAAAATCAATTGGCAATCCAGGTGGACCCTCTTATTAAGGCAAAATTCCAGATTCTATGAATAATTTACACTAAAGACATGGAAACAACCCACATGCCCATCAAGAGATGATTGGTAAAGGAAAAGTTGCATATATATATATGCAGTAACACTGCAGTAACATGGATGGACCTAGAGAATATCATACTTAGTGAAGTAAATCAGACAGAGAAAGACAAATATATCACTTACATGTAGAATCCAAAATAACATAAATAAATCTATAGATAAAATAGAAACAGACTCACAGACATAGGAAACAAACTTATGGTTACCAAAGGGGAAAGGAGGCGGACAGGAAGGGATAAATTAGGAGTCTGAGATTAACAGATACAAACTACTGTACATGAAATAGATAAACAATAAGGATTTACTGAATAATACAGGGAACTATATTCAATATCTTATAATAACCTATAATGGAAAAGAAAATGAAAAAAATACATAACTGAATCACTTTGCTGTATACCTGAAACTAACACAATATAGTAAATCAGCTACATTTCAATCAAAAATAAAAATTTAAGCTAACAGTATGCCAAAAAACAGATTAAAAACAATTTATTTTCACTTCTGTTTACAATAAGAACTGAGCAGTAAGAATAGGCAAAAATGAGAAATATTCCCACTTAGTCTAAATTAGACTACCTAGATGAAAATTAGAGAAGGAACTGAAGAAATACCTAGATTTGCTGTTGTATTATAAATGTGTGAAAAAAGAAAAAGGCGTCTCTAACATCATCCACAGTGAGAAATTCCTGAAATTAGATCCCATGGCCTCTTATTTACTATTTCTGTCTTTAATGTGCTTCCTCCCAAAGATCTGATTCTATTCCTCAGATCTCCTAGATGCTTTCTTACACTTGACTTGAGGATCAAGCCATCTTGTTGGGCTCACTGTGGACATAGTCTTCTTTCTTTATCTTTGGTTTAAAACGTAAACCACCTGTAACCTCAACGATATTTTGTACAAGATGGTTATGTTTGGATCTGAACGTAGCTGAAACAGCCAAGAAAAGAAAGTTTAGAGCCGCTGGGTTAAAGGCCACTTTGAGGAAGCAATCATTTTGACAGCTGACATTATGGCTTGCCATAAACTAGATCAACTGTTTCTTGTGGAAGTTTTGTTTCTGTTGTCCTAGATGCTTCTGTCAGGAAAGGAGGTCTGGAGAGTGTTTTAGAAAGCATGCTTTTTATAATTCAAATGATAAATTGTCTTACGTAACTATCACACTTATTTACATCTTCAAATTGATGTAGGCAAATCCTCTGAAATTTGTACTATTATGTGTATTGCCTTTCCCCACATATCAATGCAGATAAGTAATCTTCCGTACAGTCAATTCATGAGCATTTTTGTAGTTTCACATTTTTAAAGCTATCCTGGGGATGCGCAGGCCACGTTTGCTGATACAAAAACCAAGCAGGGAGAAACTGAGTTTCCTGAGCATAAATGGAGTTAATGTGAAGCTACAGGGCGAGGATGTAGAAGGTTAAGAGAAGTTCAGCTTTGGCAAAGTAAGTTCACTCAGCAGAAGTAGCTGAATTCCAGAAGTGGAACCATTCACCTTGAGATACAGGTTACATTTATGGTGTAACATGCCCACGATGACGTATATCACTCCTGGGTATGCTCAGAGACACGTGACGGGGGGAGGAAAAAAAAACAGAATTTTATAGGTCAATTTTGTTGGTTAATTTTGGTAAAAGCTCCAGCTGAAGTTGTTGGTTGAGATCATTTTGTCTTGTGGATGGGTTCGTGTGTGGCCTAATGTGTCCCCCTTTCCAGATAATTAAAAATTAAATCTTCTGATTTTTATCTGTCTTTCTGATGGATGAGGGTAATAAAATTCTGTTCTTAAGTCACAGAGACAAGTATGGGCTACTTACTAGGCATAATAAGACCCTGAAAGAAAGCCTATAAAGATTTTTCCTTTATTTTTCAATCAGAATTGAATTAGATCCTGTGATAAAGCAGTGGAGCTACATAATGTTGGGTAAATTTGTAAACATTTCTGAGCTTCAGATTTCTTCTCTGTGGTAAGGTGGTAGTGGTACTTGGTCAACAGGACTGTCAAGAAAATTACACGAGAATATATGTGAAGAGGTTAGCACAAGACTGGCATGTCAAAGTTTCAACAAATCGAGCTATTATTATCATTGTAAGGACAAAGAGATAGTTGAAGATTATATTCTTAGTAACTGGAGCCATCCTGTTCTTCCATGTGGCTGTTGATTTCATGGCTTAGGGCATACTTCGCTTCTCAGTCAACTACCACGAAAGCGCCTGCCCCATCTATTTCCAACTGCTTGCAGTGTTGTCACCATTTGGTGGGATATGGCAGTGAATCAAAAAGTTAATGCTTCCCTAACTTCTGACTTTAAAAACTGCCATTCTCCCTTCCAAAGTCATTATTTCCAGGGATACTTAAGCACTGGAAGAAAAAGTACAGAGTAAGTTTAGCTATTAAAACCGGATGATTGTGGCTGTTCTTACTCCCAGTGTTTGCCCAAGGACCAGAT